TGCCAAATAACTTTAAAATTTAGCGCTCTGCTCCGTTACTTTGGCAGAAGAAGGCCTTAGTGATGAAGAATGTGAGGACGAGCTTGCTGTGATACGCGTACAAAAAGCATACGTTTTACAAAAACTTGGTCGATCCGAAGAAGCATTGGAAATTTATTTTCAACTTCAAAAGTCAAAGTACAGTTCCTTGCCTCCTTTTCTTTCGACGTCGACTTTGGTTTAACTCTTATATTTTAGTTTTCTCTTGGTTATAGTTTGGCAGACAAAAGCATCGTTGCAACGATCAGCAACAATCTACTCTCTGCAAGACGTAATGTGAACATGCTGGAGGCCAAAAGGAAACTTAAAGCGGCAGCGCAAACAGAAACTTCGAAGCTGACATTACATCAGCGCCGCACCCTTGCCTTAAACCAAGTAGCTTAGTTAATTTTATGAAGTTTTCTTTATTTTTTACCTTTCCATCTAATTAGTAATGATCTTTGCGATTACTGTTAATAAATTTTAAGTTATTTTTGGTTGAGAAAATTTTAATTCGATTTTCAGGCGTTATTGTACATGCTTTCTAACCAGAAAGACTTATGCAACAAGTCTTTGCAAGAAATCCGACAAAAATATGGTACAGTACAAGAAGCAGTAATTATAGAAGCCGCTTTATTATTGCGTTCGAAAGATCCCCAAAAAGCTATCGAGGTTTTAGGATCAGTCACTCCTACCGTGGAAACTCAGTTAGCTCGAATTCAAATTCTCCTGAATGATGGTATGCTTATATAATCACCTGCAGTTTTAGATTGCTTTTGAGTTTACACAATCGATTTTGAATCTATTGTTCGTTTTTTTTTTTGTTCCATCTGGATATATCAGAAGCGTTTATCTAGGTTAGCAAAAAGCGCTGTTATGTTTTTTAGGTAAAGTGGAAGAAAGTGTTTCTGCTCTTGAAAACTTACCACCCGAAATTGGTTTGCGTCCTGCAATTGTGCAACTACGTGTTGCCCTTCTGCTGTGCCTCAATAAGAAGAAAGTATGACAGTCATTGTTTTTTTAGTCACTCTTCAGGCAATTTATTTTATTTACCTCTCATTGTTTAGGAAGCTTTGGATCTACTTTCTTCTGTTATTGGCACAGACGGAACTGGTGTAGAGATCCTTTTGGAGCAAGCAGCTTCATTAAATTTGCAGTGTGCGAATTACCGCGCGGCTGTAGACTGTCTTGAACGCTTAGCAGCTCTAAAACCTGATGATCTAAAAATTATTTGCCGTCTAATTAAAGCTTACTCTGCATTTGATGTACATCGTGCAGAAGAGCTCTCTAATAAACTCTTTCCACCAAGCAAGGCAGAAAGTCTTGATGTTGATGCTTTAGAAAAGTCAGACTGGATCCTATACAGGGACAGAAGTCGGCAGAAGAAGGAACCGAAACCGCAAGAGCCTGATGCGGTAACTGTTGTTGGAATATTTTTTTGAAGTACATTTTGTATATTCCGGACTATGATGTCATCATGTACAACTTTTTCTTGCTGTTCCAGGAAATTATAACCGGAAAGTTGAGGCGAAGAAAGCGCAAGCGCAAGCCCTTGTTACCGAAGAATTATGACCCGAAAGTTCCTCCTGACCCTGAAAGATGGTTACCAAAACAAGAAAGGACGGCATATAAGAAGAAGATTAGTAAGAAACATAAAGACAGGGAAATAGGGAGAGGGACGCAGGGAGCTGTTTCGTCCCCTGTTCAGTTGTAAGTTGAAATAATTGAAGGATTGCAGCATTACAGTTACTCACCCGCTTGTGAAAACTAAATGCACAAGTTTCATTGTCAACTAGAAGTCTGTTAGAAATTTGGAAACGCTTCCGGTTTCAGAGACAACGCCAAAACAAAGGCTGAAAACTCACCAAAGCCAACTCCAGTAATGGGAGCAGAAGGACCGAGACAACAAAGACCGGCAGGGCAGCAGCCGAAGAGGAAGAAGAAGAAGACGAAGTGGTAAAACTCGCGCAATCACTGAAGTTAAATTGTTAAACTTTTCCTAATAAAATTAAACTTCTTTGACCATCTTGTAAATGAAAGCTCTAAATTTACATACTGTTCCTGCTCCTCAGCATCCCTTGCGCAGATATTACTCCTCTCTAAGCTGCGGAAGGCGTAACGTCAACTGTGCTAACTTCCTTATCACACACTTAGTTAAAAACCTTGCAGCCATCCGCGAAGGTGATGGAGCATGACTATGTAGTATTGAAATACGACTTGCCCATGGAAAATCATTTAATGAGAAATTGTGCAGTGAGAACTCTTCCCGTAAAGAACAGAATTTAAATAAACCGCGGCAACTGAGAACTTTGAAACAGACGGAAGTAAAATGTGAGGAATGGCACAAAACCCAAAATCTATCAAAAATTGGTTACAAGTGCGATTAGACTGAAGCAACTAGTCAAGCAAACAAAGAAACGGTTTCCAGTCACCGCTCACGTGTATTTACATACTATATAACGAGGCGACAGTACCCACGAAAGATGCATAAAAACAATTTTTTTTACAGACAAATAGCTAAGCTTTAATACACGCACAGTAGCCTCTGACAAAAAACTTCCGTTATTGTTAAAAAACTCATTAGAAACAAAAATAAATCTGATTCAAAGGTGAGTCAAGTCGCAGGCGTCATCCTCAGGGAACTCCCTGATTCAGTTTTTAGTAAACCCTGTAAGGCGTATTTAAAACAACCAATAACGTGAAATCAAATACAGAGCTGCCGTCGCAGTGCCAGCTGCAAGCCATTTACTGAACGAAGTCTTTGGAAGAGGTGTGCGTTCTGCCTTCAATACCAAAAATGAATGATACCTTTCAAATAACGACCCACGTAGTGTCACTGGTGGCATCATTCTGTAAAAGCTTTTTATGAAGCTTCAAATGTGAAAACTTATTGATGACACAATACACGAAAATGAAGTGCAAAAATTTGTCATAGAGCATTTTTACTCTATTAAAATATGTCAAACAACCAAAAAACAATAGAAGAGTAGCTCAAAACAAACCTATACAAAGCCTGCGCGTCGCTAATTAATGCTTCAATTGGTATCTCATCGGGCATGTTATTTAAAAAGTGGTGATACATAGGCATCTCTCGTGGTCGAGTTAATAAAGCTGATCCCCGCCAAAGCACAAAGGCAGAGGTAAGGTACACTGGCATAAGAGGGTGGGCGGCAAGGAATAAGTCGAAACAAACAACAACCTGTAAGATATATAGTGAAGTTCTTTACTTTTTAAAAAGGGTTACAGCCATTAACACGACCAACTGTCACTGTAATAAGCCAAGATTTAATCCTTTCTGAGAAACGACGTACCTGCTCGTAATGGTGTAGAGCATGTGAAAACCACGTAAGTGGCCAGCTCAAAGCGAACAAAGCCCCCAGCTGCACTGAACGCATAGCGTGCTCAAGCTCTGAATCTTCTTTCCAAAGCATTATGTACATTAAACTGAGTTCTTTTAGCACGGAATCCTCTAAAGTCTGCGACAAATACCTTAAACACCCCCAAAAATAACGCATCCACGAACTGTCGCAAGGAACTGGAAACGAATTCCTACTAATTTTCAAAGTAACAACTCCAAGTCAACTGACCATTTAAATGACCCATATCTAGCAAGTTTGCGCCCAACCCGCTCAGCAGATTCTGCTCCTAAAACGAGAAGCAATGTTAGGCATACGTCGTGAAATCCTGAAAAAGCATACACCAGTTACATGAAGGATAACTGTTAGATTCACAAAATCAATATAACGCAACAAATCGATTACATCAAATCCTTAACATGCTTCCAGCATTTCTGCTTACTATTCTAAAAAACAAAACCAGGAATCCAACTACCAACATTTTGCCCTCTCTCCCCGCCTGCCTCTACCTCTCCAACCGAAAAAAAAACACTACTTCTGGAGTTCTGAAATAATTTAGTTTAAAGAAAATCACATGAAATAAAAAACAGCCTTGATAGTAATGGAACTGAGGGCACTCATGAAGAATCCTCACGACTAAAGGTGTCAGTTCATCCTGCAACTCTTTTCGACGACCTTCGGATATATTGGGAGGAAACCGCGCCAATGTTCGGTTAACGTCCAGTTCAACTTGGCCCCACTCCACATGACGCTTCAAATCCGACAGCGATGCTGCTACTTCCTAGGTAACATCGGTGAATAGCCAGTCTACAGTATTTTGCCAACAAACTTAAAAAAATGGATGTCTCAAAAAAGAAGGTAAATGAAGAAGATATGTCCTCCAGAAAAAAAACCAATATGGCTTAATTACAACAAAATTTAATGAAGCCCCCAAACTTCCAAAAATAAATTTCAAAAAAAAAAGATAAAGTAATCGCTCACCTTACTCTCGATGGTGGGAGTTAATGGGTCATCTTCTTCACCATCAGAAAAGCTCGAACGAGCTGACTCAAAATCTGAATCAGAGACTGAAGGTGCCGACAACAAATCATCTTCTGGACAAGCCTCCTGATCTTGAATCAATGAAGATGCTAGAATAGGCCATATAACAGCTCGTATTTCGTCCGAAACCAACCCTTCAAGAAAAAAAAAATCTTGAATCTCTAATTATAAGCACTTTGTAAGAAAATTTCAAAAGTTAATGTAATTATTGAACTAAAATTGTAATAAAATCAACGGATTTCACCTCCAGGAGATGTTGCAAACTGCCGAAGTTCATTTATGTACAAGTGAAGACAGCCGCGATGCTCAGTGAGGAAAGAACGCATACGATTGTATTTGACATTCAGTGAACGGCCATATGCTCTAGAAAGGGGATCCCTGTTCTCTTCACTGCTGAGCTTCTAAAAAAATATCCATAATTAATAATAAATTTGGGAACACAATTTGACTTTTTAGCTATTCTGCGAGCTTTAAGTCAAGAAAAAAAGAAGCACGAAATGTTGAAATTACAAGTACCTGTAGGAGTGGGACGCCAGAGCTGGACTCTATTTGTCTCATTACTTGAATATAGCGTTTGGTGCCAGATCCATCATTCCCTGTGACTTTTGCTTGCTGACAACTTAAGCATATTAATTGGAACAATTATAACCACCAGTATCAAAAAAAACCTGGCAATCAATTAAGCACCATGTGAAAAAGTTCAATACAGATAGAACGATTGTTCAGTCCGGTAGACTAAAATCAAAAAGATTAAGTGCTGTAGGTGAGTGAATTCGGTGACAAAGGATCATGCGCTGTGTACATGAAGTCCCAAAACTTCACCTATATGGGCAATAAAGCAAAGAAAAAAAGCAACACTAACAGAAGCAACATAAACAGAAGAACGTTTTTGCACCACTACACCGACCAACAACTGTTTAGAATAAAGTTTTGAAAAATATAGGAACTTTTTGCCAAATGTCCTTCTGTGTCCAAAAAATGCTTTTCTGCTCCTTGCTTAATAACAAGTTAAAAGCTATCAAAATTTCTGATGTCTCACTGTCTCAAATTACAACTAAAAGTACTATTTTGGCAAAAAAGGCTTTCTGTCGACCTCAACAAAACTGAAAAAAATTTCTAACAGTACTACTTGTTGCCTTAAAATTCATATCCATGTGTGCAAAAGCTAAAAGACTTTCTGTAATTGTTGAAAGAATGAGGCTACTAAAATGCGACCGATTATCTATGTATTATTTTTATTTTTTAAAAGGGCAGACCATAACGAAGAAGCATTAAAAAAAAAGTTTCTCGACCTGAAGACGAACTTAAAAAAACGTATCAGCTTTACGCGAAAGAAAGTACCAGACACTTGGTCAGGAATTCCAATCCAATTACTGTAATCACTGTCACTCGAAGAAAAAAGGATTTAGTTCGATGGACGTAATAAGCAACGAAATAAAGAAAAAAAAAAAATCGGAACTAGTACACGTACTTGATAAATCAAGCACTACAAATAAAATACTATGATATTATTATATGTACTAACAATGACTAACAGCAAACATCAATGAAGTTAAGGCAGTGTGACGCTCGGCAATAAAACTCCTAAATATCTCCTACACACTTAGAACAGTCATTTGTACTTCATAAACATTTTTAGAAATATAAAAAAGTTTTTATAGGCCTACAGCCTTTGCTGTATGAGAAATAATAACTTTTTAAACAGCAGGAAACTTAATACCATTTACCTATAAAAGAAGTCAACTTTATAACTTCCTTGTTAACTCAGTTACAAAAAAAGCCACCTGAACACGTATTAGAAGTGTAAGAAAAATAGCATTAAGTACTGCATTTAGACAACTAGAAGACAGAAGACAGAAGAACAGCGGAACAGTCGACAAATCAAGGAAAAAAATAGCTGCCTATTTAATGAGTCCAAGTTTTTTCACAGAAAAATATCATTAGTTGAAAAGAACTCAAACAGCACAAAATATTCCTCAAAATTACTGTCTTTCTTTCCTCAAATCTTTCCAAAAATTACATACTATATACAAATCATGGGAATAAAATTTATATAT